CCTAAACCCTAAACCCTTTAAAGGAGGCGCCGCCTTGATCGGTCGCGGAGGAGGCGTCACCTCGCAGATCTCAGCGGGAATCCCGGCGGCGTCGCATCGGATGCCCGGGACCAAGATCTGACCCGCGTGCAAAGCTTCGAAGGGCACCTTGCTATGGTTACTTTTACACTTTTACTAGGGTTGATGATATAAATCCTGCAGTACCCCGTAATAAGGAATTTACCATAATTACCATGGCTTATAGGGTCCTTAAGGTAAAGCAGGATTTACATCATCAACAGCAGTATTACTAGTGTTGTTAGTAGTATTACTAGTATTGTTGTTGTTATTACTATTATTACTACCATTTAATGTTTTCACTATTAGTACTACCATTTACTATACTGGTGTTATGAAAGCTTAAGGGCGCCTTCTCTCGAGCGGGAACCGTAAACACTAAACATGAGGGGGTGGAATGGGGGGTCTAAGATTGTTCCAAAGAGGGGGGTGGGTCTAGGGTGTAGGATTTAGGGCACGTCTTGTGGGGAATATAGCTGCATGAACAGGATGCTTTTGGTTTTGGCTTCTGGCGTTTATGATTTGGAGTCGCCGTATATATTTGGAGCTTTCTAAAACTTGGGAAGCCCTACTAAACCCTAAACCCTAAACCCTAAACCCTAAACCCTAAACCCTAAACCCTAAACCCTAGACTAGGGCTGAAAAGCCGGCCGAGCCTGCACCCCAAGGAGGCTCACAGGCCCACAGGGCACGTACTCGAAGATGAGAATCAGGTCGCCAATCCTTGGAGGCCCCAAAGCGTTGGTTGTTTCTGCATCTGTGTTTGTGTCTGTGTCTCTGTGTGTGTGTGTGTTTGTTTGTTTGCTCGTTTGTTTGTGCGCCTGGTTGTTCGCTTGTTTGATTGTTTGCTTGTTCGTTGTTATTGCATATTTTGGCGTGTCTGTTTGTTTGTGTGCTTGGCATATGTTGCCTTTCCTTGTTTGCTTGGTTGTTTGTGTGTCTATTTGTCTGTTTGTTGCTTGTGTGTTTGCTTGCTTGCTTGCTTGCATGCTCGCTTGCTCGCTTGCTTGGTTGCTAGCTTGCTCGCTCGCTCGTTTGCTTGCCCGCTTGCTCGCGTGCCTGCACGCCTGCTTGTTGCTTGCTGGCTGCTGTTGTTGTTGTTGCTGTTGTTGTTGTTCTTGCTGTTGTTGTTGTTGTCGTGGCTGCTGCTGCCGCTCTTGCAGGTGGTAGTGTTGTCCAATCAGGCTTTGGTAAGGTTATTGTTATTGATGTTACTGTTGGCGGTTGCCGGCAGTGGTGGCGGCGGCGGTGGTGGTGGCGGCTTAGTAGTCTCATTACGGTGGCTCTTCTTGCTGTTGTTGTTGTTGTTGTTGTTGCTGTTGTTGTTGTTGTTGTTGTTGTTGTTGTTGTTGTTGTTGTGCTTGTGCTGGTGCTGGTGGTGGTGGTGGTGGTGGTGGTGGTGGTGGTGGTGGTGGTGGTGGTGGTGGCGGCACCAAAGAGACGGCTTTTGCATGTTAATGTCAGCTTCCAAAGTCATAAGTATCTCGAAGCTTTCATTTCAATTGCTTGTGACTTGTGTAGAGAAGTGAGCAGTCATCGCATAACTAAGGATGAAGAAAGCAACTGTGGACTGCACATTCTGCCGTTCCCTTCAATGAGTTGTATTGAGCCACCAAGCCTTCACGTGTTTTCAGTATACCCCGCATCCAACATAGCCTCAATTATGTCCAAACCCCCAGACTCCAGAGCCCTCATTTCGGAAGGGAGACCCTTCCAAACACACGATTTTACGTCGCATAACTGGTAAGATAGCTTCTTGGGGACTCGAGTATACAGGGGCCTGAATAATTTTTGTAGGGTTTCGGGTCACCTTACCCCTCAAATGCTCAGAGACGATGAGGGGACACATACCCTCTGAGGGCTCACACTTCCATAACCCTAAACCCCAAATACCCCCAACCCTCACCTGCAGGTTCCTTCTTTTTCTTCTCGGCCCTCTACAAACCAGGGGCCTTAATAATTCGAATAGGGTTTTGGGGTATACTCTACTATAACTAGAATAAGGAACCCCACAAAAATAGTATAGGTAATTAATGAGGCCCCTATATTGCAAACCAGGGGTCCCTGGGTTCGCGAGGGAGTTCGCGGCGTCAATGGGGAAGAAGACTGCCGGCTTCCCCGACTGAAACCAGGAGGAGGAGAAAACCTCGAGCTGTCCTCGGATTGCAGAGAGACTGCTGCAGGAGTACTAGTAGTAGTAGTAGTAGTAGTAGTAGTAGTAGTAGTAGCAGTAGTAGTAGTAGTAGTAATATGGTTGATGAGAGTTGCTGTAAAGCCTTATAAAGCTTTATGAGGTCCTGATGGGGGTTTTGGGTGACGTCTTCAGTAGGATCGGTGCAGAGCATCTCTTTCAGGGGTCCTGATTACAAGGAGCTTCCTTGTCAGGATCCACAGGAACTGTCCTCGTTCTGACACGAAGTGACAGGCTAGCGTTGCTCATGGTGTTACGCAAGGCTTTCGGTTTGAAAACTCTGGGACATAGATTTCCCGGACTTTCAACTTTAGGATGTACTTGCTTTCGCCTGCTCGCCCCTCTGAACAGCAGCCAGGAGTCTTCTTGCCCTGAACCCTAAACCCTAAACCCTAAACCCTAAAGCAATCCTGCTCCCCGACATGTTCCAGGGCCTCAGGAGCCCAAAGTCCTGGACCAAGATCCCTGAGCCCCGAAAGCCTGAAAAAAAAAACAACTAAATCCCCTTCTGTAGGGGCCTTAACAATTTTAATAGGGTATGGGGGTATATTATTACTATAACTATAAGAAGGAAACCCAAAAACTATAACCATAAGGAGGAACCCCAACAAATAGTATGGGTAATTAGGCCCCTATTTTACACCCTCAAGCCCTGAAGCCTGAACTGCTAAACCCGAGACCCCAACAAAGCCCACATCCCGATCCCACAAACCCCACAAGTAACGCAATTCCTGAAACACACACACACACACACAGACAAAAAAAAAAGCCCAAGCTCCCACTCCGTAGCGACTCATCCGCCAGTTGGCGTTGATCGCTTGAATGGCAGCATTGCTGATTTCGCATGGCTGGTAGTTTTGGAGCTTTCCCAGCCTGAGAAACACGAGAGGATCGGTGGACTCAGGTAGACTAGTCGACTCGAGCCTAAACCCTAAGCCCTAAACCC